TGGCTCGGTGAACAAGGGGCCATCATGCGCCCCCAGATTATTCCTCCGATGGCCATCCTGGCCATCAGAATGGTCAGGGGAGGCCCCCTTTACCCAGACATGATCACGACATGGAAGTTTCCGGCTTTGGCCAGACTCCCAGCGCCACGCAGTCAGTACGAGGTCTGCGAGACTGTGCCGGTGGCGACACCTGCAGCAGAACAATTGCGGTCGCTGATCCCTGCGCCGCGCCCCATGCCCATGCCCCGGGGCTACGTGGCCGCCGCGGACCGCATGCGTTCCTCCTCTTTCTCTGCTGCAACGGATATTCCCAAGCACCCAGGACTGCAACCAGGGATGAGGCAAGAAGATTCCCAAGTGGATCGAATCTTCATCGGAATTGAGCCGGCGGCGGCACCTGCGCCGACTCCGACCGACCTGAACCTCCTGGGCACCGTCCATTGGGAGAAGATCGTGGACGATTGCAAGAAGCAGTACTTTGAACCACTTGTGAAGACGCTTCCTCTGGGCACCTGGGATCGTACTAGTCGCTTTGAAGACATCCGCGCAGGTGACTTCATCTATACACGACTGCATGGTTCTGCCCGTTGCCGCGCCGTTGATCGCCGGTATCCAGCAAAGAAAGAAGTCGCGCTCACGCTGGAAAAGGGAACGATCTTCGGACCCATCATAGACGTTGCTCACAACGGACCATACGTCAGCGCGCAGATCCCGTGCCACGGTCATGGGCCATTCTGGGCCAACATTTGGTAGTCCGAGAGGAATGACGATCATAACGGTTCTCCATTCGCACTTTTTTTGCGTGCTGAGTTGCCTCCATGGTTGTTTGACCATTTCAATGCATACGATTGTGACGTGCACCTTGGGCTCCCCGACGACGATATCGTCATCGACGCGCGTCGGCGGAAACACCCGCACTCATGACGAAGCTCGTGACGAAGATCGATGAGACGAAGCTCGTGACGACAATCGAAATCATCGAAGACCTGCCGTCCATCTTCGCCAGACTTCCGTATGATGCTATGATGAGGAGCATCCGTGCGAATGGCAAGAGTACACAGGGCATCCCGACGTTGACCACCCCACTGCGAGGTTGACCACATGCGTACGGCAACATACATGGAAACATACCACTACGACAGCCATCTCGAGATATGGTTCCGTGCCGACCCAAAGGCGGACTGGTGCAATCTGCATCTCGACTCTTTCAGCCCATGGGCCAAACAGCTGCCGAACGTTTGTGGCCAGAACCGTCTCCTTCATACGATGATGGCGGAGATGAATCGGAATGATGCTGAGGATGTCGTGCTGCCCCGCTGGGTACCACATCTTTTTGCCATTCTACAGAGCGATGCTACACAGCGTTTGGTGGGTACCTCTGCGTCGGACATCCTCAAGTATCACCCTGCTTTAGCGTCTCTCCTCGACCTGGGAAACGACGGTGCTCGCCGATCCGAAGTACAGTGGCATGCTGACGGACCCAATGAGAGATCCATTCAATGTTAGGGCTGGCGCCGCACCGCCGCCTGCTGAAGCCGCTGACACTGCTGCCGATATCGGAAGCACAGCTTCGGCCGTCGCTCCTACCCAGGACAGACTCATGGACGTGCTGCGCACCGACTATGGCGACGGCATGGGCGGCGTCAGCGACGCAGATGCAGTGGGCCAGGAGCTTCGCCGCAGAGCGGAGAAACTCCTGCGAGATCATCATGGCGCGGCCTCAGCACACCGTGCTCGCGACCAGAGCGCGGCTGGGGAGCTGTCTGATCCGATGACCGATATGGGATTGGACTCTCTGGCCAATGATTAGGCCACCGATCGCGCGCACCTCGCCCCGAACCATGTTGTTCGCGACCTCGGCTGGAAGGTGGGCGCTGACGGCGACGCTCGCAAGCGCATGCAGGAACACATTGAAAACGGTGCGTCTGAATTGCAGACTGGAAAGCGCCACTGTTCTAGCTGCTGCTGCGACCTCCCCAACAGCGACACATGCGTAGATGACCTGTGCCACGCATGCACTGAGTCAATGAGACGTGGGGGAACTGGCGCGTTCCAGATTTAGTTCCTGACATTGGTGCGCAACTGGATCCGCGAATCAATGGGCGAGAACATCGCTCGTCAGCTTATGCGCACGGACGTCCAGATTCGCATCCAGGGACAGCGTTCTGACGTTCCCGCAGAGAAGGACTATCTCCGCAAACTGGCTCAGAAAGCCGAGGTCCGACACGCAAAATGGCTGGGGGCAGGTAGACCGACCCCCGGTCAGCGCCGCGTCGGCGGAGATCAAGACGCTGACAAGGAGGGCACCGTCCTATATCATCCATGCCCCGACCTCGCCACCAGGCATCAGGAATATTCGATCTTCCTCCATCTGATGACAGAGGCCAGGATTCTGAAGCAACGGAGTTAGTTCACGTTGGAGGACATGAGGGCACGCGACTGCACCATGTCAGCGCGCTGTCTGGCCATGCGGGCCGGCGGGCACAGGCTCCCGGAGCGCTCGCTCGCGGCGGGCGCCTTGACCGCGGATTCGTGACTTTCTCAGCTCCCTCTGGGAGGTCAAACGAATCGGGCGACGCTGGGTGAGCTCCGCCTGCAGGCCCCCAAAGGTGCCGCGAAGGGAAACAAGGGTTACTTCTCAGTTTCCTCAGTCGGCCCCATTCGTTTCACCCCTGCCCCTCCACCTCCGCGCCGCGATGGCCCCGCCGCCGCCCGTGCTCCTGGCGGCGCTGCCTGGGCTGACGCCGCTGGCTGGACTGGTGGCGATGGCTCCTCATCGAGCTCGCGCCGCCCCCTCGCACCGCGCCCGACGGCGCCGAAGAGCGCGGCCGCAGCGCGAGTGCCGCGCGCGAGCGCCGCAACATCTACACCTGGTGGCGTCGCGGCCTCCATCATTACCAGCGCGATGCGTATCGATACTGGTCGCACTTCCTGTGCCGGTGGAGTTCCGTCGACGGTGACGATTGCGAATATATATATATATGTATATATATATACATACATATGCATATATATATATGTATAACTATATATTTGTATATATATACATGTATATGAATATATGTGAATATTGTCATACGACAACTTTAGGACCATCACTAGCAGTTGGTTCAACGGCTATGGGAATAGTGTTTGGATGAGCGCTACTACGAACCATTTTAGACATATATATATATATATAAATCAGATTCACTGACATCGTGTTACTGCGTAGTTTGCCGCATATTCTATTACCAGTGATTTTGGAAGTAAGTTGGCACCATTGTGGTTATCATTCGTATGTATCTTGGGACAGATTGACATTTGTGCTATTTCATTTGAGATATATGAATTTCCGCTTTCTTGCGATCTTGATTTCTGCTCACACGATAAACTCTGGCAATCGCGCATGGACGCACCCAGGCAGGTCGCCCGCCAGTAATATTATCTAAGATCAGCGTATCTGTTCTCTCATGGGACGGCGTCCGTGCACGACCAGCGCATAGAATTTTGCCCGTGCTTTTTGTCGGATGTCGACATCCCTCGCAGATGCATCTTTGCGTTGCGCGCATTTTTTCGAGGCGTGGAGTGCCTCGCAGCATGTGCGATAGATTATCAGAGATGGGTTGTCATCACAACTATCCTAATACCTTTGCACGTGGGCCTGGGGTGCCCTGACTTTTTTCTGGGCCTGGAATGCCCCGTGAATGGGCGCCTTGTTACTTTGATTGGGTTGTCGTCACAACTCCGACCCATTTTACTTTACGCTTGTAGCGCGTCGGTGGCAACACCTGCATCGAAGGATGCTGCCGTCGCTTCGCTGCTTTCCTTCCCTCGTTCCCCCATCCCCGTCACCTGCGGTGACGGAGTGTCGCCCAGGAGTGCCGGGGCGTTTTGGGGGGCGCACCCAGGGCCCGCTAAGTCGGGTGGCCCTCCTAAGTGCCCCGCGTGGCGGGGTTGGTATTCTCTCTTACAGGGGCGGTGGATAGAACGGGGCGGCGAGTGGACCTCGCATCTCCGTTCCCGACTCCTGCCGTCGCCCCCCGCGGGCCCGAGGCCATCGGGAGTTGGCAGGTTTCGGGGCGGGGCGTGCGTGTGCGCGCGCGTGAAGTCCGTTCACTTCCTTCGTATTTCCCCTCTTGCCGCATTGGATTGGCTCAGGTATTGGCAATGCACTAACAGCGCACTGCTCCCTGCGCAGAGCCCTGGAACAAAGGAACCCCGCCCCTCGCCTCTACCTCCCTATACGCGCGCCCTTTGGGGGCCCCTTGGAACCTCTTAGGATCTCCAGGGGCCCCGTCGGGGCCGAGGGCTTGAAATTTCTGTTCGGGTTCCCCATCTGGGCCCCCTCGTGGGGCCGTCTTTGGGCCCTCCTGGGCCGTCTTGGGCACCTCGTGGGCCGTCCTGGGGCCCAGTTGGGCCGTCGTGGGGCCCTCTTGGGGGCCTCTGGGGCCGTCTTGGGGCGATCTCGGTGGCCTCTTGGGCCGTCTTGGACCGTCGGGAAGCCGAAAAAGCGAGAGCGCCAAAATCTTTCGAGCACTCAAATCAATTCAACGAGTTTAGCATCTTGGGGCTCTCTTGGGAGGCCTCTTGAAGGCTTTTGGGGATGTGTTGGAGGGCGGTTGGACCGTCTTGGGGCCGTCATGGAGCGATCTTTTGGCGATTCGGGGCACACTCGGACCTTTTTTTGTGGTCTCTTGGGGCGCTCTTGGCCCGTCTTGGAGTCCTCGTGGAATCCGTGACAAACCCAAGACGAATTGGCAAGTTAGGCTCCCGGCCCCTTGAAGACTTTTCGGGGGTGAGAAGTGACCATCCGAAGCTTCGGCAAAAGGGCATGAGGACACACCCACTCCGTGCCCAGCGGCATGGTGGCGGATACGCAATCATTTGCAGTTTTCGCCGGGGGAGGAACCCTGAAGGTGGACGACACGAGGTGCAGTGCATGTTGTGCACGAGGCAGAACGGTCGATGCGGAAAGGAGTGTGAGCATGAAAACTATGGTGGGGGCCTGTTCCAACTGTAGGCGAACGACGCATTATCGTGAAGAGCCATGCCATGAGTCAGCTGAAGGACGTGGTCGATCACGCAGACATGATCGTGGCGGGTCGAAAAGGGGTTTGGGGCGGTATGCGATGGTAGGGTTGCACGATTTGCCTTCGTTTTTCAATTGCACCACATCTGGAAGCACGCACTCAACGTCTTATAACTCCACGTTTCCCGTGCCTCGCCTCCCCGCTGTTTTCCTCCCTGTCCTGCCCCATCCTCTGTACGGCGACGGATGGGACAAGGCCGTGACACCTCGGCTGTCTTGGGGCTGGATTTGAGAGGCCGTTATGGGGCGGCGTAGGAGTATGAGGAACATGATGATGATAATGAAGGGCCGCATGATAACGAACACGTATCAGTTGCTATCCCAAACCATTTTGAAACCGCCAGAGTTTTCTTCCCGAGAGGATGAATAGTCCGACGAAGAGGCCGCGCAGGAGGCGAGGATGTGTCTAGAAGTTGCAGGGGGTGGCAACACAACTAACCAACCGCATCGACCAAGGATAGCAATTCCCAACCATCCTGCGGTGTTGGGTCCTCGTTTTGAACAGGCGGCGCCCTGCGTCCCACCTCTCTTCCTCTCCTCCTCCGTCTCCTCCCTCTCCTTCCTCTCCTCCCTCCTCTTCCTCCTTGCCTCTGCCCTCCGGATGTTTCTGTTCCGGCACACCCCTCACACGCTTCGTGGCCCCATATGGAGCTCCACCGAAGGCCCAAAAGGCAGCGCCCGCATGTGCCCGCCGCACCCATGTCGGCACCCCCCTCACATGTTTCGTGGTCCCCATAACGGGACTTCACCGAAGGCCCGAAAGTCAGCGCCCGCACGCGCCCGCCACACTCATTTCGGCACACCCTGCACATGTTACGTGGCCCCCACAGGGCGCCCCACCGAAGGCCCTAGAGGGAACTCCACCGAAGGCACCAGTGGCAGCGCCCACGTGACGCCGCCATCCCATTTTGGTACGCCCCTCACACGAAGGAGTTCCACCGGAGACGATGTTCACGACTGCGGTACTCACGGCTGCATGTAGTTGGGTCTTTTGCCAGGCTAATTTGTTCGAGCCGTTCCTCTCCAGCCGCGATTGTGCAGGCCTCCGCCGCTTCACCTCATTGGATAACGCGCGTGGGAGGAGCCCCGTTGTCCGGTTACGGGGTAGTTGGCGTTGGAGAGGGGGTTGCAGGTTTTGTCCGAAGGATAAGACATGCGAACATGAACGCCATTCGTGGCACCACCTTCAATGATCATGGCGATATCCATAGCAGCCGCGACACGAATTGCAGCGTTACGATTGTGATTAGGAGCCGGCGTAGAGACAGTAGTAGGTGTGTTTGTAGTGGGGGTAGTCGCAGTAGCAGTGCAATGCTCATTCCTACTAGTCGTGGTTGCGGTGGATGTCATGGGCGCATTAGCTTTGCCAGTATTTGTATTAATCGTCAAAGTAGTACGCCATCCATAGCGGGTCGGAGTAGCACAGGTAGACGTAATTTGGCGTGCAAGAAGAGCGTGCAGCAGTCGTCGTCGAAAGAGAGGTCACAGTACAAGCAGTCAGGTAAGTTGGTGCGATTTGAGAATTCGACCCGAAGTCTCAAACCGCACTGAAGGCGGCAGACTGTCGGTACAGCCAGGCCAGGGGCCGCCGGCCCAGCCAGCCTGGGGAGAGGGAGTTTAGCGGCAGGTCGCGGGCGATTTGCGCAGCGTCGGGCGCTCGAAAACGATCGCAGGGCCCCCCGCAGACGTTGACGAGGGTTCCCGTTCGGGAGTACCAACCTCGCCTCGGGCGTCGGATCTGTTCACGGATCCGCTGTAATTCCTATGCGGACTCGATTGTTGCTTGACTGATCCAATTCCAATTTTATAGGTTTTGGGTAGACCAGGGCGGTGGGACAACAGCGTGTGTTGGCGCGGATTTTGTCGGACCGCTCCACCCATATATACTAGCGAAGGACTCCGATGACGCCGTACGCAGGGGCACGCAAAAGGCGCGACAGGGGGGGGGAAGGCGCCTTCCAGCTAGAATTTTCATCAGGTGTTCCTTCTAGAACTTTAGTCAGGCGGCTCCTTCCAGAAGCCCCTATGTGGCCGAACGTTGAGGCCAGACCTGCCAAGCTATCGGACCATGTGTTCCCCGAATCGGTTTGGAAAGCCTTCGGGGAACACGTGGGCATCTTGAAGGTCATCTTAGCCGCCTGGAGGCCATTTTGACTCTTTCGGGCCTTCTTGGAGGACGTCTTGGAGGGCTCGTGGGCCGTCTTGGACGCCATCTTGAGCGTCTTGAAGGCCTCTTGGGCCGTCTTGGGGGCCTCGTGGGGCCGTCTTGGGCGCCTCTTGGGCAGTTCTGGGGCCATCTTGGAGGCCTCTTGGGCGATCCTTGGGCGATCTTTGGGAGCTCTTGGGCCGTATCGGGCCGTCGGAAGGCCCAAACGAGGAACATATCAAAATCCTTCGCCTTTTCTGGCCCTCCTGGAGGCCCTCTTGGAGGCCTCTTTGGCCGTCTTGGGCCAGCTGCGAGCCACCTTCGGCCATCTTGGTGGGCTCCTGGCCCGGCTGACGCCCTCGGAATCCGTTTCGGGGGCCTTTCTGGGCCGACTTGGGGCCCTCTTGGGGTGCTCCAGGGCCGTCTTAGAGGCCATCTTGGGCGTCTTCGAGGCCTGTTCGGCCGTCTTGGCGCCCTCTTGGGGCCGTCTTGGGGGCCTCTTGGGCCGTTATGGGGCCATCTTGGAGGCCTCTTGGGCGATCTTGGGGCGACCTTGGCGGCCTCTGGGGCCGTCACGGGCCGTCGAAAAGCCGAAAAGGCGCAAATGCCAAAATCCTTCAAAGACCTGAGGGCCTTCCTGGAGGAACTCCTGGAGGCCTCTTGGGCCGTCTTGGAGGCCTCTTGCGGGCCTTTGGGGCTATCTTAGACCATATTGGGGCCATCTTGGGCCGTCTTGGAGGCGTCTTGGGGCCATTTTAGCCGTCTTGGAGGCCATCTTGGCTGTCTTGGAGGCATCTTGCAGGCCATCTTGGGCCATCCTCGCGATTGTTTGAGGATGTCCCGAGCGAAACTGCCGTTTTTGGCGATGGCAACCGCCTCTTCCGGGTGGCCAGCGGGACGGGCGGAAGCCCCAGGGGCAGTTCTTTTGGAAAAAGAACCAAAACCAAAACCGTAATAGTCTAGCACGCCAGGCACCCTTGTGATGAATCAACAGGGGGCGGCGGATCGAAGACGCCTACGGCGAATCACCGCCGCCCCCTGCCTTTGTGGAAGCGCCTATGTGGCCGAACGTTGAGGCCAGACCTGCCAAGCTATCGGACCATGTGTTCCCCGAATCGGTTTGGAAAGCCTTCGGGGAACACGTGGGCATCTTGAAGGTCATCTTGGCCGTCTGGAGGCCATTTTGACTCTTTCGAGCCTTCTTGGAGGGCGTCTTGGAGGGCTCGTGAGCCGTCTTGGAGGCCATCTTGAGCGTTTTGGAGGCCTCTTGGGCCGTCTTGGGGGCCTCTTGGGGCCGTCGTGGGCGATCTTCGGGGGCACTTGGGCCGTCTCGGGCCGTCGGAAAACCGACAAAAAAGCAAATGCCACAATCCTTCACAAACTTTTGGGAAATCAGTGATTTTGGCCTTTTCGGGCCTTCCTGGAGGCCCTCTTGGAGGCCTCTTGGGCCGTCTTGGGCAATCTTAAGGCCATCTTCGGCCGTCTTGCTGGGCTCCTGGCACGTGTGACGCCGTCGGGAGCCGTCTTGAGGGCCTCTCTGGGCCGACTTGGGGCCCTCTTGGGGCGCTTCGGGGCCGTCTTAGAGGCCATCTTGGGCGTCTTGGATGCCTCTTGGCCCGTCTTGGCGCCCTCTTGGGGCCGTCTTGGGGGCCTCTTGGGCCGTCACGGGGCCATCTTGGAGGCCTCTTGGGCGATCTTGGGGCGACCTTGGGGGCCTCTTGGGCCGTCACGGGCCGTCGGAAAGCCGAAAAGGCGCAAATGCCAAAATCCCTCAAAAACCTAAGGAGAATCAATGATTGTGGGCTCTTCGGGCCTTCCTGGTTGACCTCTTGGAGGCCTCTTGGGCCGTCTTGGAGGCCTCTTGGGACCCTTTTGGGCAGTTTTGGGTCATCTTGAGGCCATCTTAGGGCGTTTTGGGTGGGTGCACCTTGGGCCGTCTTGGAGGCATCTTGGGGCCATCTTAGCAGTCTTGGAGGTCATCTTGGCCCTCTTGGAGGCGTCTTGGAGGCCATCTTGGACGATCTTGGGGACCGTCTGGAACGGAAAAACCCTTTGCAACCACCCCTGGGCAAATTTTCGGCATCCTTCCGGGTGGCAGGCGGGACGGGCCGAAGCCCCATGGGTGAGTTCTTTTGGAAAAAGAACCCAAACCAAAAGCCATATAGTTTGGCACGCCAGGCACCCCTGTGATGAATCAAAAGGGGGCGGCGGATCGAATGGCCTTCGGCCCATGCCGCCACCGTGCCTGGGTTGTGGGTATGAAGCGTATTGGATGTTCGTTGGGATCTCAGGGGGGGCCTCTCGGGGGCCTCTTGGAGGCAGTTGGGAGGCCTCTTGGGGGCCGCTTTGGGGCCTCTTCGGGCCTCTTGTGGGCCTCTTGGGGCCTCATGGAGCCTCCTGGGCGCCTCTTGGGACCTCCTGGGGGCGGAAGGCTTGGATTTGCGGTTCGTATTCTCCCTCTTGGGCTCCTTTTGAGGCCGTCTTGGGGCCGTCTTGGGCCGTTTTGGGAGCCTCTTGGGCCACCTTGGGGCCGTCTTGGGGCTGGCTTGGGGCCTTCCAGGGCCGTCTGGGAGCGTCGGGAAGCCGAACATGCGAGAACGTCAAAGTCTTTCAAAAATCAATGGGAAATCACTGATTTTGACCTCTTGGGTCCCTTTTGGGAGGCCTCTTGGAGGCCTCCTGGGCCATGTTGGAGGCCTATTGGGCCGTGTGGGGGCCATCTTGCGCGTCTTGGGGCGGTCTTTTGTCGACCTGGGGCCCTCTTGGGCCGTCTTGGGGGTCCTCTCAAGGCTCTCTTGGCCCGTCTTGGGGCCCTTTTGGACCTGAAATATTGGAGCGCCATCGCCGGGAAACCTTGGGGGGCACGCGCCGAGCCCCGGGAGATCAGGAGTGAGGATTGGGGCGTAGAGGATCAGGCCAAAAGGGACGTGAGGACACGCCCTTTCCGTGCCCACGGTGGCGGATTAGTGTCAGTATTGTTAGTAGGAGAGCTGTAGGAACACCATTGGTAGCAGCAGTATCGGTAATCGCGTGATTCGACGTTGGAGATGAGCTTGTATGTGCGCTGGCCGACATTTCGGCCGACGTAAATCTCGGGGATGCCGTGGTCGGTGGTCGGCGTTTTGGGGGAACGCGTGGGTTTCGGCCAGACCTTGGGCCCCAAATGGGGCACCAAACCCTCGTGTTCCGCGCTCTCGCCTCTGCGAACAACAGCGAGGGCGTCGAGAATGTAGGCCCGCGCGCATTGATTCGGAGGGCTTGCGTGATCAGTTGGGGGAGGAGCATCAGCAGCAGCTACGTCAGCATTTCATGGGCGAGAGGAAGGATGGGCAGGATAGGATGACGAGAGGAGAAGACACGATGGGCAACGGCAGGAGGAAGAGGAGGCGGAGGAGGGGAAGATGGGGGTCCGTAGCCATTTTGGCTCAAGGCTAAACGTTGTGAAGGGCTATCAACGCCCGAGAATCAGCGATTAGCTTTGGCTGATCCGTTCCCACGGGCTCGGACTCGCGGGCCCAGCCTGGCTTTTCTGCACTTTCTCCCCGACGGCTCACATCTGCCGTCGGGTGTTTCTTGGGGTCGCACTCTTCCTTGTGGCGGTGGGGACCGCCACACTCAACAGTGCTCAGCCATGTCTCTCTTCGCAGCTGCTGGAACGGGAGCTTCTGGATCTCCAGGTCAGGATCCTCGGAAGCGTCCAGCGACGGAAGGAGCCGCAGATGATGAAGAATCGCAGCCATCCGACTTCCAGGTCCAGATCGACGCCCTACGTGCGGAACTACTGGAGGAGGTCGCCAAGACGTCGTCGGTCATGCAGGGGTCGTTCAACAGTCTCTCGTCGAAGGTGGTCAAGGATTGTGGTGATATGCAACGGCAGGTGGAAGAGCGGCTCTCTCGTACTGAGGGTGTTCAAAACACGCATGCAAAATATATCAAGGCTTTGCAGGAGGATGTCAAGAAGCTGCGTGCGGAATTGGGGATCATCAAGACCGAGCCGAAGCCCGTCACGACTTTCACGCTGATCTCGCTCGAGTCCAATTTCCATAGGGAGATCGACATATCGGTCATCACCGTGCGGTGCAAATTCCAGTGCGCTAAAGTGGCGGTGCAAGAGGCGCTGCAGCCGTGGCTGCATAAGCTCAACATGGAGCAGGGTGAGGTGGAGCTCGTGGGGGATCCGACGGACAAGAGGTTCACGCTCCAGTTCAAAGGCTCGAAGGCTTTCGCAGGACGTCGGGCCCAACAGGCTCTGGCACTTCTTCGTCCTCAAGCTCCTGGTCAAGAATGGCTCCGCTTCCACACCGTGGCAGCGTCGGGCGAGCGATCCGAGCTCTTCGTGGGCCCAGACAAGAACCCTTGTCAAGTACGACGCGAGCTGGCGCTCAAGGTGGCGAAGCGCTTCCTCATGCAGATGCACCCCCAAAAAAAGTTCTTCCTGGACAAATTGCGCGGTACGATCTCATCTGATTGGCGGCAGCTGGTGCAGCTCACGCCGATGCCCGACAGTGATGTCCCACAGATCCGCTGGGCCGATGACAATCTTCAGCTCGAGGGGATGGCGCGCGGGCAGCTGGAGGACGGGCTCGCCAACGCGCTGGAGGGTGACGGCCATACCTCGTGGTCTCTTTAGCAGGTTTCACGCCTTGTGGGGGGGTGCCCGCAAGGCCCACGTGCCGCTTCGCATCGGCACGTGGAAAGTGCAAGCTCTGATGCATTTCCAGCCGGCTGTCAGATGTGCTAAGTTTAAATATATTCGTCGCCTCCTCCGTCCTGGGTCAATCATTGCCGTGCAGGAAGCACACGGCACGATTGCTGAAATCGAAGATTTTCTCAACGCCTCGAACCTCGATTTTGGGTTCACCTCCTCTCTTCTCCCAGCTGAGCACGGCGCTGGCGGAGTCATCACCTTTTTCCGTAAATTCGGTCCAAGCAGTGAGAGAGCTAGGCTGTTCGGTGGCGAGCGCCCCTGAGCCCCCCCTCCTGAGGCCCTGGTTCCTGGTCGAGTGTTGTACACGAAGTTCTCTGCAGTAAATGGTTCAGCGTGGATAGCTCATTATAGCGTTCATAATCATGGTACCAGCGTAGCTCAACGTCAGTACGTTACCCATCACATCCTCTCCTCCATCCTCGACTCGAAAGATGAACCGCAGAGCAAGCTCGTGATTGTGGCAGGTGATTTTAACTTTGGGTTGCAGGCTCCGGCCCCACTCGCCCCGACGGACGAAGAGATAGCTGCGCCTCTACCTCCTTTGCCTCAGCCTCCTGGTTGGCGCGATGTTGTTCGGCAGCTCACCGAGTTTGAGCTGGGCGCACCGTCGCACTTTCATGCAGGGGAGAAGCACCTCTCGTTTATAGATCGGCTCTTTTGCTCGTCTCATGGATGGGTTATCTCGCATCAGGCTACTAGTGGTGAAGTTATCAGTATCCCAGAACAGCTTCAGGCTAAACAGATCTCTGATCATGCAGCGGTGCGTGCTACTCTTGTCCAGAGACCCCCGACCCCGGATTCCTCGAGTCCAATCCCAAAGGAGATCTATATATCTATACGACTAGCGAGTAGGCCCAGTTTTTGCCGATGGCGGTGGGCGCCGCCGACTTTGACCACTTGAGCATCCCGCTACAGCACGAGTGCTATAATAAGCTTATGATAGAGGCTGCACGTCATGCACGCAATGCTATAGCACTGCGCAAACCACAGTGTCTTCAAGCACGGTATTTTGTCATGCGTAGTTGTGCACGCGCGGTATTCCGTCAAGATATACATCTAGCTGGAAGGTTGACGCTAACACATAAGCTTGCTCGGGAGCACCTCCTGTTAGACATGGTTGCTGGCAGTGTGCTGTTGGTGGAGCCAGATGCTTTCACCCGCCTCTCGGATCAGTTGCACGCCGAGCTTGATGAGAAGAGGCGCCGTCAGATCCAGGCGAGCATCGATGCGACGGGCAACGAACGCCGTCAGAATCGCTTGCGAGGGCGGGCTCAGAAACTGAATAAGGCTGCTCAGTTGTTGTCGCCGTTTGACAAGCGTGTGAGTCTCTCGGGCATCAGGGTCCAGGGCCAAACCATGCAGGAGCCGAGCCAGGTCCTCCAAGGTCTCACGGACTATTGGAAGCCAGTGTTCACGGGGAAAGACTTCGACGACTCCAGGGCTCGGGACTTTCTCGGGGCCCATGCTCCCCAGGTGACGTGTAGCGACCTTCCTCCTCCCACGTTCAAGTTTTTGCAGGACTTCTTGAGGCGCCAAGAGGACTCGGGCCCAGGACCTGATCGTCTCAGGCATGCTGCCTGGGCGAGAGCACCGCGTGGTGCGGGCATCCTTTTTGACGGCCTGCAGTGGATCTTGCAGGGCTCCACTTCGAGCTGGAACTTCAACGAGCTGTTGGGGGTGTTCATCCCCAAGGGCACGGAGGCGAACGACGCTGAGGGGGTCTTCAGGGACGTCGGGGACGCCAAGCCTCTGGGCCTCAAGAACACCGATTGCACAATTTTGATTGGAGTCTGCTGTTTCGAGCTCTCTCGTCGCGTGCCTGCTGGACCCGACTCGAATCAGAGGGGTTGTGTCCTTGGCCGCAACTTCTGTTCGAACATCGTGGGCCTGGACGCGTATTCTCGGGTGTATTCCATGGGCCCTCAAGCGTCGCCCCCGCTTTTGGTTGGGTTTGACTTCGGCCAAGCTTTTCCGAGCTTGTGCCAACGCTGGCTGGCGCTCGTGCTAGATGTGCTGGATCTGCCTCCACCTCTGCGCTGGTTCTTCGACGCCATGTATAGTAATGTCATGTGTGTTGGGCAATATAGGGGGCATAACACAGTTCATGTACTTCATAACTGCAGGTATTATACAAGGCTGTCCAGCATCAGGTCTGCTCTTCAGCCTCGCGCTGGATCCGTTTTTGATCGGGTTCCGCAGAGTGGTGGACGGCGCGGGCCGCGGCCACACCAGGGCGTGCGCCGACGATATCGGCATGGCGCTCTCTTGCATTTCTGTTCTGTCCGAGGTCGCCTCGGTCTTCGCGCAGACCCAGCACATCGCGCATCTCAAGCTAAAGATTCCCAAACGCCTGATCGTGCCGTTGATCGACTCGGCCGCCCCGAACTGTATTAGCAAGTATCGCCTCTGGATTCGGAACTTCTTGGGCTCCTGGAGCGATATCGGCATTCCAGGTAAACTGAAGTATCTGGAGATGTTCCTGGGACCTGACGTCGACGAAGACTCGTGGATCGCGCCTGTAGCGAAGTATAATATGAGATGTGCTATGATTGCTGGGGGCTGATCAGCTGCTGAGGCGACGGCCATTCTTTACCGGCGACGAGCTTTCTCAGTCTTATCTTACGTGTCCCAGTTCCTCCTCATGCCCAAACATCTCTGTGCTCTTTCTTGAGTATCAGCAGCTGGCCCGCTTATTCAAGACGCCGTTCAGGTGTTGGTCGAATTCAGACTGGCACAACTTGCAGGCTTGGGGAGGCCCTGAAACCAACAGTCTGTTGGTCAACAATGTCGCCACTCTCATCCGTACGAGTATGCTCACCATTCCTGACTGGCGGAGTGGAATGTCGGCCCTTGAAGAGGCCGCGTGGCGCGAGATGACCGTTGCTTCGATCCAGGCTGGCTACGATGACGGTGCTGGCGGATTGCGTTTTTGCCATCGGTTCTGGAAGGCCCGCCCGCCCAAAATCTTCAGGGCGCCGCTGCAGGTTTCCCGAGCAGGCCTCAGCTTCAGAACGCTGCACGTTATGCACTTGCTCATCTTCGGGTTCATCTTAGAGACAACCCTCATCTCCCCAGAAAAGCTCTCCATCCTCAACGCGTTCTAGCTCAACATCTTAGATCACGTATGTTCCCTGATAAACTGTCGTCAACGTTCACAGCCCGGCTTCGAAAAGGGTGCCCTCAGTGCCTCGCGGACATCAGTGGCACAGATTGGGGTCTTTGCCGTGAAGTGATCCGCTCTCTTCCTCCTTCGTGGCGCTTCGCCGTTTTAAAACTCTCGGAACTGCTTGGACAACGAAGAGTAGGTTTCAAAAACATACCCCCTGCTTTTTAGGGTGTTCGCAGTGTTCTGACAGATTTTGGCATTTTTGGTCGTGCCCGAGGTTCCTGGAACTCTGGTCCGAGGCTGCCGAAGTCGTTCTCGGCCCGAACCCAGTGGCTCGATTTGGTGCGTTCGCCCCCTCTCGTAATTCGTTCATCATCCCTGCTTATGCGTATCACTTGTATAATGCCCTGCGTGTTTTAGCCTCTCCTACTCATCCCATCATTTCAGCCGCTGAAGCCGCCTCCCAGATCAGGGCGGTGCGATTCCAGGTCAAGAGGCCTGCTTGTAGTTGAACTTCGAGGACTGCTCCGCTCTCGGCTACGCTCGAGGAGGGGAAGATGGGGACAGCAGGACGGGGCAAGAGGGGCTGCGGCAAGGGGCGCAAAGGATATGGTAGGGGGCGCGAGGGCAGGGGCGGGGGCAAGCCTCCTTCTCATCTTCATTCTCGTCGTGGGCTCTCTTCGTCGTCGTGGTAGTCGCTTGTGCCTTTGGCCTTCACGATGGCGCGCCGCAGGCCTCCAGACAGAGAGCCTAAGCCCCGTACTCTCTTACAGCGGACGGATTGGGTTGCGCCCCAGGGCTACTCCTACTCCCATTCCTCTTCTCAGCCGGGTTCTAGGGGCGCTGCGCCAGAAGCGCCCCGTGAGGGGGGGGGGGCTGGCGATCGATCTCGATCCTCGGGCAATGCGGCGCGGCCCGATGCTTGCACGCTCGGTTGTGTATCCTGGCGCGGCCGATTCGATCCGATTTCGACTCCGTGCCGCTGCAGCACGACCCGATGTAACGTCCTATCCGACCCGGTGCCGCGTTTCGGTGCTGACTGCTCTTGCTCGGCGCCCCCGCAATGCGTGGGCTCCCATGGGACATCGCCAGCAATCGAAGTAGCGGGAGGATGAGGAGGAGGAGGAGGAGGAGGAGGAGGAGGAGGAGGAGGAGGAGCAGCAGGAGGAGGAGGAGGAGGCGTCCTCTTTCGCTTCGTCGCCCCACCAGGGGCAGGGCCCCTCGCCGAAGGCGGCGGGCTTACTGGAGCATGTGAGGAAGTGCTGGGCAGCGGAGGGGCGAGGTCAAGCGGCGGCGCAAGCAGTATCGGAGATCTGCAGCCCGCTTGTGCGCGCCGTGCCGGGACGGACCTCCTCACACGCCAGGCCCTGGTGGACACCAAATCCAAAGCGGGTCTGGTGCCAGGGCCGCGGAGCGGGAGCAGGTGGAGGGGGCGGGAGGAGGAGGAGGAGGAGCAGCAGGAGGAGGAAGAGAGCAAACAGGAGGAGGAGCAGGAGGAGGAAGGGAGCAAACAGGAGGAGGTGCAGGAGGAGGAAGGGGCGGGGGGAGGATGAGCATGAGGAAGAAGGAGCTGCCCGAGGTCTCACGCGAGACATCGCCGCGGTGCCGAGGGGCCCCGCGCGTGCCCTGGAGTGCGACAAGCGGCGCGCGGAGGCCCGGGCCTCGCGCGGGGCGGTCAGAGCGCGTTTGCAGCGCGTGATTGCACATGCTGTGCATCAGTAGCTGCAGGTGTGAACGCATGCGTGTTCTCGAAGCACTACGCCGAGGGTTTCTTACGGTCTTTCTAATATCTAATTGGGCGGGTCCAGCGAAACTCTTCAGCGTTGCCCTCCGTGGCCGCCTCGTGGCCGCCCCGTGCGCTGGGGGCTGGTGGGTCTGGCGAAGTTTCGCCAAGTTGCCGCTCGTGGCCCTCGTGGCCGCCTCGAAGTTTCGCGACACTTCGCCGCATTGCTGGCCGTGGCCGCCTCATGGCCGCCTCGTGTTCTGGGTGGGTCCGTCAAGGTTTCGCCGCGTTGCCGCCCGTTGCCGCCTTCTGGCCGCTTCCTGCGCTGGGCGGGTTACGTCGAATTTGTTCCACGCTGCTGCCTGATTGCGCCTAGTTGCCGCCTCGTGCGGTGGGCGGGTTCCGTCGAGGTTTCCCCACACGACGTTGCCGCCCGTGGCCGGCTCGTGCGCTGGGCGGGTCTGGCGAGTTTTCGCAGCGTTGCCGCCCGTGGCCGGCTCGTGGCCGCCTCGTGCGCCGGGTTGCCGCCGCCTTGGGCCGCCTCGTGGCCGTCTCGCGCGCTGGGTGGATCCTGCGAGGTTTCGCGAAGCTGCCGTCCATGACCGCCTCGTGGCCGCTTCGTCTCTCGCGTGGGACTCACTTGCAATTTATTCAGACGCCGCTCCCTCCACACTCAGGAATCACGCCCTCGATGTGGATTTTTGAACGATTTCTTTTGGTGAGTGCTATCGCTCGAGCCTTCTTCGCGAATCATGCAGGACGCCCGCTTCAGCAACCCGCCTGCTCGACCTGGCCGCCTGGGCCCGCCTTCCCGACCCGCCCGTTGGGGTCTACCCGCCCGATCTGCTTGTCTGGTTTTGCAATGTGTTTTCTGCTCCTAGCCCCCTTTCCTGCCACTCACTCTCGTGTTCCATCCTCCTCCCTCCCCCAGTGCCCCTTCCTTCCCATACTCCTCGCTTCACGAAATACACGTTGCAGGTAAGAAAGATGTTCCCCAAAGGGGACACGATCAGAGACGATGAGGGCGGGTATCGAGGGCTTGGGATATACAGTACGTGTTGAGTGGCCCGCGAGCAGATAAAAGCGAACATTCTTAGCATGATTTTTGTTGTTGAATATCCATGTCTGGGTAATCGTTATTGTTGATATCCGGAAACGGTTCCGCGCGCTCTCGCCTCGACGCCGGTTACATGTTCTGTGAAAACGAGGCTCCCGCGTGAGCGTTTCCTTGAGTGTCAACGTGGGCCCTGGAAGGCCGAGCTGCAACGACGAAGGCTTCTCTCCCGCTTGATATTTCCTCACAATTTACCCCGTGAGCCCCTGGCCAGAGAGGCCCCCGAACTCAGGAACGGCGCTGTCGCTCGAGAGTTCCTCGCAATTCAATCAAAGTGGTGGAGGCCCAGCCACGACGACAAGGGCTCCTGCTCGATACTTCTTTACGGTTTACCCCGTGAGCCCCTGGCCAGGAAGGCCCCCGAACTCAGGAACGTCGCTCTCGCTCGAGAGTTCCTCGCAATTCAATTAAGTTGGCGGAGGCCCAGCAACGACGACAAGGGCTCGCTCGATACTTCCTTACGATTTGCCCCGTGAGCCCCTGGCCAGGAAGGCCCCCGAACTCAGGAAGGGCGCTCTCTTTCGAAGCTATCACGTGATTTAGTCAAATTAGTGGAGGCCCAACTACGACGACAAGGGCTCTCGTCCGATACATTCTCACGATGTATCCGCAAAGGCCCTTACCAAAAAGGCCCCTGAACTCAAGAGTGGCGCTCTAGCTCGAGACGTTTTCGTAATTCAAGCAAGTTGGTGGAGGCCCAGACACGGCGACAAGGGTTCCCGTTCGATATTTCGCCATATGTATTCCGAGAGCCCCTGGCCAGACAGGCCCCCGAACTCAGGAACAGCATTCTCACTCGAGGGTTCCTCGCACCTCGTTCAGTGGTCGATAAGGAAGAGATCCCCCCCGAGAGGAGGGCAATCTAGGGCGAATTTGGCGGGTATCGGGGGTTGGGGTATACAGAACGCAAGACACGCGTGCCAGTAAGAACGAACAGTCTTAAAACGATGATTGTTGTTGTTGTGGTTGTTGTTGTGGTTGTGGTTGTGATTGTTGTTGTGGCTGTTGCTGCTGTTGTTGTAGTAGTTGTTGTTGATCAAACCACGCGCTGGCGCCCGCCCCCCCTCCCCCCGGCGCAATGCAACGCAACGCAACGCACCCTACCCCGCGTCCTAAGGTCGCATGGGAGTCCTATGGGGTCCTCTGGGGCCTTATGGGAACCAATGGGATTCGTATAGGAGCCCGATCGGATCCGATGGGATTCGTATAGGAGTCCTATCGGATCCTATCGGATTCGTACAGGAGTCGCAGAGGATACTATGGGACCCGTATAGGAGTCGAATAGGATACTATTGGATCCGTAGAGGAGTCCTATCGGATACCATGGGATTCGTGTAGGAGCCTTGTAGGATCCAATGGGGTTCGTATAGGAATCCCATAGGATTCCATGGAATTCGTATGGGAGTCCTATAGGGTCCGGTGGGATTCGTATAGGAGCCGCATGGGATATTATGGGATCCGTATAGGATCCCAATCGCATCCGATGGGGATTCTTAGAAGAATCCTATAGGATCCCATGGGATTTGTATAGGAGTTTGGTAGGATCCTGAGGGATTCGTATAGGAGTCTTGTAGGATCCGATGGGATTTTTTAGGAGACTTGTGGGATCCGATGGGATGTCTATAGGAGTCCAATCGATGGGCTTCGTAAAGGAGCCTTATAAGATGCCATGGGTATCGTATGGGACTCCTATAGGATCCCATGGGTTTCGTCTAGGAGTCCAATAGGATCCTATGGGATCCGTAGAGGAATCCCATAGGATTCCATGGGATTCGTGTTGGAGCCCAAAAGGATCGCATGGGATTCGTATAGGAGTCCCAAACGATCTTGTGGAATTCGTATAGGAGTCCTGAACTATTCCATGATGGTCGTATAGGAATCCCATCGGTATTATTGGATTCGTATAGGAGTCCAATCGGATCCGATGAGCCGTACAGGAGTCATATGGGATCAAATGGGATGTGTATAGGAAACCTATAGGATTCCATGGCGGTCGTATCGGCGTTTTATAGTCGTCCATGGTACTCGTATAGGAGTCTTGTAGGATCCGATGGGATTTGTATATGAGTCCTGTAGGATCCTATGATATTCGTACAGGAGTCCTATAGGATCCGATGGGGTTTGTATAGGGG